TGTTTATCACCTTTTTCCTTTGTGAGCAGCGGTGTATTGTGTGCCATCTTTTATCTTTTTCGGTTTAACCCCTTTTGTTCAACCTTGTGTTTATTTTGCGCCAAGCTTGAAGATAAATATTTTACTTTGCGTTTGGAAGTTACTAAAATATTTACTACAGGTGCATCTTCGCACCCACAACACTCCCAAACGCACACATTCTCCCTAACTTCTATCTTTCGTTAGGGATCCCATAGTTTGAACACCCGTAATGCGACTAATGCCACAAAGGTTGTTAGATGAATATACTGTTGTTGTTGTTGTTGGTTTTTTTTACAAAGCAAAAAGTGATAACTGCGATGATCATCCTTCATTTAATTTAATTTTATTTCATCTTCTTATTTTTGTAAGTATGTCTTTTATACTGCCATTTCATTTCATTTACTTATAAATTAATCTCTACCTTTTTTTCTATTATAGCACTTGCTTGAGGTAGACATAGAGTTTGCCGATCGCTCATTATTAGTGCAAATCGTAACATCTAACTTTTTTTTGCTTTCTATACCCACAACACTCCCAAACGCACACATTCTCCTTCCCTTCTATCTTTCGTTAGGGATCCCATACTTTTAACACCTGTAATGCGACAAAGGTTGCAAGATAAATATACTGTTGTTGTTGTTGGTCATTTGTTTTTACAAAGCAAAAAGTGTACACAAGTTTTTCACGCTTGCCGCCAAAAAATAAACATAACTTTGAACAAAAGGGGTTAAACAGAAAAAGATAAAAGATGGCACACAATACACAGCTGCTCACAAAGGAAAAAGGTGATAAACATCCCAGCTGTTGATATAAGAGTCAATAAGATATTTATTAATCTCGCGCCTAACGGAAAATAAACAATAATCAGCAAATGTGTGTTTGCAAGCGCTTTTGTTATATGCCTAACGTTCATCAGGGTAAGGGGCCCATAAAAAGGGCCGCGCGAAGAACTATGTTATTCACATTGCTAGCGGATATTTAGCAGTGAACATTGTTTTGGAAATGAAATCTCTACTTGTTCTCCTGTTTCTCGGAGCAATAGTCGCCACCCTGGCTGAGGAGTCTTTTGAGGATGAGGCAGTCGCGGAGTTGTTAGATGAACAGGGTGATGAAACCATTGCTGAGCTTGCTGATGAAGCGAATGACCCCCATCATCGTCCCCATCCAAGTATACGACTTGATGCAATACATCCACCAAGTGAGCTAGCTCTTTAGTTATTTTTTTCAGCCGGGGTAGGTTGTTATATGTTTGAAAGAGTGATTACCCTTTTGTCAATAAAGTAATCATAGCTCAGTTTTTTCATATTCACTGATCAATTAGCGTCAAATGATAAAGACGGCCAGCATCAATCAATGAAAATCCTGACATGTGATTAAAAAAAATCAACAAAGTTTTAGAAGTATCCTACCACAGAGCTATTAAAAAATTAACACAATTCATCTTCTCTCCCACTTAGAAAAACATTTGCAAAAAACTGCGGCAAATATGCAAGAAGCTCCGGCCCAGCAGACGTCCTAAGCCTTAACTGATTGAAAGTTAAGTTATTGACAGCCTAACGGTACTGCAAAGATGACGTGTCCCATGAACAGAAAACTTTGATGTAACGAAATTAAATGTAGTTGTGAAATTAGGGTTGTACTGTTGATTTAAATAAAGCATTGAAAAGGTGTCTTGTGGTTTTACTCATGTGCGTACAGTAGTTGAGGATTTATCTAATAAATGATAATTATAAGAGTAAATTATAATTATCATAAAAAAATTATCCCAGAATCCTTTAAAAGCTTTACAACTTTGACAATTCTATACGTAGAAGAATGTCAGTCCACAACAAGAAAACAATTGCCATGAAATATCTTCCCACATCACATCTAAGGTAATAACGTCCTCAGTCACGTGACTATTCCGAATTAGGTTTGTTTGCTACTGTGACAAGATTTTGTTAACGAGTTAAAAACAAATAGCAGAATTGAGGTTTTAGTTAAGGAGTGGGGGGGGGGATTTAAAAATAACCAGTTGACGTCCGGCATTTAAAATATAAGGGGGTAATAAACATGAGCGAAAAAGTCGGGAGACTAGGCCGAGGAATGTAGAGATTCTACCTTTTATAACACGATAGAGAAAATTTGCGGGAAGGTAATGTTCTAACTGATAATTTTTTTTTCTTGGCCAAAATAGGGACATGACGTTATCAGTCACGTGATCAAAGCGTTTTGAATGTTTTAGTTCGTTTTTAAAGTGCCTTTTTGTCATAAATTGGCAAGTTATTTTTTCCTCAACAATTCTTTACACTGTATTATCTCTGAGTAATTATTATTCAAATTCAAAGCAGAACCAAACGAAAACTGAGCCAGAAGCTTAAAAGTTGCGTAAATTGACCGATATTGCAAGTTTAAATCGAAAAGGAGACCTACTCTTGAGACTTTTGTAAAATCCTTTTTCAACGTAACTGTTTGTTTGCCGAAATAAATGTTCAACGTTTGTTATTAACGGGAGAACTTTAAAAACTAAAAGTATGTATTGGGCGGCCATATTGTTTTTCTTCATTCCCAGGGAGAGAAGTCTCGTAACAGTATTAATGGGTTTATTGTGAGCTTTACGTCTAGCTTCGATCAGTGGGCCTTCTGTGTTAAAGTTGTCAAACTATGTTATGATTGAAACAAATCCACGTTTCCTTCAAAAGTAGACAAAAAAATTGCTTCGGCGGTTCTTTGTCAACAACAAAATGTTACCCCGTATAAAGCTTGGCCCAGCTCGGTTAATTTCTCCAACCAGGAATGTAGCGTGCGTGTACGCACATACGCCTATGCAATCAGCTAGTAAAATCTGGAAAAAATATATACATTTTTTTTTTTATCTCCTGAAAGCATTTTTATCATTAAATTTGGATAAATATTTCGCATTATATTGGTGTTTTTGTGTTAGTACTGAGAAAGAGTTTAGAACGCCGTTTCAGCTGACGTAAACGGTTTTTTACAATCAACATAACGCTTTTCTCGTGCTTGGCAACCTCTCGCGGGCATCCATGGCTCGATTGCTGCACGGCTGCAATGTTTACCATTTTTCTTTCATTGGTTATAACGTCAATTTACCCTCGTACGTCGGTGTACGCCAATGTAAAATGTCCTACTCGAGATAACACTTCGCCAAATTCCGCCGATTTTGACGTGAAAAATGCATATGACCACGGGTATTACGAAAATGAAGACAGCAAACCTCGCAGAGAAACAGAAACATACTTTTTTCTACCGGTGGGTTAGTGTGCTTCTTAGCACAGACCTTAGCTTAACGCCTTCCTGTTGCCACATTGGTCATATCTTCTTTGACAACTTGCTGATAATAAGCAGTGGCCGGGCATTTGTTGGTCCCTCTCGTTACTTATTGCTGTAGCAGCCATGCGCCTTTCAAAGTACAAAAGGCACCCTGAATCAGGGCGGAATCGGTGATGTTCCGCGCTATTCCGCGAAGGCTCCCTCATTGCTAATACTTATCCTAAAATCTCAAGTAATTTTTTCTCTTCCTCTTCTTTTAACCTCTAATCCAATTTTAGCTTGTCAACTAATTTTATTTTGAAGTTTTGAATATATGAAAATCATATATATGAACTGCGGAGTGACGAATTAAATGAAGGATAATTTATAGTAAACGATCCCATTCAACGCCCTGCTCCCAGTTGGCTTGTTAGCTTAATAGGGAGTTTAAGATACCACGACGGCGACGGCGACAAAAACATCGCTTAAAAAGTGACTCCTCGATCTATGAAACTTTAGCGCGATTATCCCAACTCGGTCACTATGTTTTATGTAAGCGAACTCTCCCAGAGTTGAATTCTTAAGAAAAATATCCAGGTATACAAAGAGTAAGAGAGATTCGTCGTCGTATGTTCACGTTGTCGATAAAACGTGAAATTAGGCAATTCACGTCGTAGTCGTGCAGTGACGGCAAAGAAATGTACAAAATAGCGTGTTGTTGTTTTGCTAATCTTAACCAATTGCTTTTTGACGTTCTCGTTGCCGTCGCCGTAGGGGCATCTTAAACTCCCTAATTTGTACAGCGCTGCACCGGTACTGCAGAGGTCAAGGGTTCGAATCCCGTACAAGCCTGAGTTTATTTCAGGCTTTCTTTTTGCAACTGCAAAAGTTACTTATAGAAAGCAAAAAAAAGAAACTTAGATGTTAAGATTTGCACTAATAATGAGGGACCGGCAAACTCTATGTCTACCTCAAGTAAGTGCTAAAATAGAAAAAAGGGTAGCGATAAATTTATAAGTAAATGAAATCAAAAGGGCAATATAAAAGACAGAATTACAAAAATAAGAAGATGAAATAAAATTAAATTAAATGAAGGATGATCATCGCAGTTATCACTTTTTGCTTTGTAAAAAAAACCAACAACAACCACCACAGTATATTCATCTAACAACCTTTGTGGCATTAATCACATTACGGGTGTTCAAAGTATGGGATCCCTAACGAAAGATAGAAGTTAGGGAGAGTGTGTGCGTTTGGGAGTGTTGTTGGTGCGAAGATGCACCTGTAGTAAATATTTTAGTAACTTCCAAACGCAAAGTAAAATATTTATCTTCAAGCTTGGCGCAAAATAAACACAAGGTTGAACAAAAGGGGTAAAACCGAAAAAGATAAAACATGGCACACAATAAACAACTTTTCACAAAGGAAAAAGGTGATAAACATCCTGGCTGTTGATATAAGAGTTAATAAGATGTTTATTACTCTCTCGCCTAACGGAAAATAAACAATAATCAGCAAATGTGTGTTTGCCAGCGCTTTTGTTATATTCCTAACGTTTAACAGGGTCACGAGCACGTAAAAAGGGCCGCGCGCAGAACTTTGTTAGTCACATTGCTAACGGATATTTAGCAGTGAACTTTGGTTGGGAAATGAAATCTCTACTTGTTCTCCTGTTTCTCGGAGCGGCAGTCGCCACCCTGGCTGAAGAGCCTTTTGAGGATGAGGCAGTCGCGGAGTTGTTAGATGAAGAGGATGATGAAACCATTGCCGAGCTTGCTGATGAGAAGAATGACCCCCGTCGTCGTCCCCGTCCAAGTGGCCCTCCGAGGGCGGTAAGATCTTCAACCCTGTCTCCAGTTTTAAACAGACTACTGGGATTTGCATAATCAGCTTAAAGTAGCAAACCTAATTTGTTTAAGATTCCTTTCCACGTCCTTATAAAATAGGTGCTGAGGGGAACTTCGGAAGAATCGCGCTCCCTCAACCCGGAAATTGCGTATTTTATTTTGTTAACATGTTAAATCGATAACTCTGTCAAAAAAATAGCCATACCCTTTTTTCTGGTGATTGGCACCACTGTGATAAAGAATGGTATCATTAATAAAATCCTAGCAAACGGTGTTTTAATATAAACGGTAACGTATCATTGAGCCATTATTATAAAACTCACATAGGTTAATTCTTTCCTCTTAAAAAGTGCAAGCTATATGTTACGAAATGCTTAAAGAAGCCAACTGGTCCTCGTCCCACACGTCCCATCAAGGTAAGATCTTCCTTGTCTTTATTTTGAACCCTTATACTTTGATATCGAGACCTAGTTTTACAGCAAAAGTGTGTAGTCAACTTATATTGTTTTTATACGACTTGATGCAATACATGCACCAGCTGAGCTAGCTCTTTAGTTATTTTTTTCAGCCGGGGTAGGTTGTTATATGTTTGAAAGAGTGATTACCCTTTTGTCAATAAAGTAATCATACCTCAGTTTTTTCATATTCACTGATCAATTAGCGTCAAATGATAAAGACGGCCAGCATCAATCAATGAAAATCATGACATGTGATTAAAAAAAATCAACAAAGTTTTAGAAGTATCCTACCACAGAGGTATTAAAAAATTCACCCAATTCATCTTCTCTCCCACTTAGAAAAAGATTTGCAAAAAACTGCGGCAAATATGCAAGAAGCTCCGGCCCAGCAGACGTCCTAAGCCTTAACAGATTGAAAGTTAAGTTATTAAAAGCCTAACGGTACTGCAAAGATGACGTGTCCCATTAAGAGAAAACTTGATGTAACGAAATTAAATGTAGTTGTGAAATTAGGGTGGTACTGTTGATTTAAATAAAGCATTGAAAAGGTGTCTTGTGGTTTTACTCATGTGCGTACTGTAGTTGAGGATTTATCTAATAAATGATAATTATAAAAGTAAATTATAATTATCATAAAAAAATTATCCCAGAATCCTTTAAAAGCTTTACAACTTTGACAATTCTATACGTAGAAGAATGTCAGTCCACAAGAAGAAAACATTTGCCATGAAATATCTTCCCACATCACATCTAAGGTAATAACGTCCTCAGTCACGTGACTATTCGGAATTAGGTTTGTTTGCTGCTGTGACAAGATTTTGTTAACGAGTTAAAAACAAATAGCAAAATTGAGGTTTTAGTTAAGGGGTGGGGGGGGGATTTAAAAATAACCAGTTGACGTCCGGCATTTAAAATATAAGGGGGTAATAAACATGAGCGAAAAAGTCGGGAGACTACGCCGAGGGATGTAGAGAGTCAACCTTTAATCACACGACAGAGAAAATTTGCGGGAAGGTAATGTTCTAACTGATAATTTTTTCTTGCCCAAAATAGGGACATGAAGTTATCAGTCACGTGATCAAAGCGTTTTGAATGTTTTAGTTCGTTTTTAAAGTGCCTTTTTGTCATAAATTGGCAAGTTATTTTTTCCTCAACAATTCTTTACACTGTATTATCTCTGAGTAATTATTATTCAAATTCAAAGCAGAACCAAACGAAAACTGAGCCAGAAGCTTAAAAGTTGCGTAAATTGACCGATATCGCAAGTTTAAATCGAAAAGGAGACCTACTCTTGAGACTTTTGTAAAATCTTTTTTCAACGTAACTGTTTGTTTGCCGAAATAACTGTTCAACGTTTGTTATTAACGGGAGAACTTTAAAAACTAAAAGTATGTATTGGGCGGCCATATTATTTTTCTTCATTCCCAGGGAGAGAAGTCTGGTAACAGTATTAATGGGTTTATTGTGAGCTTTACGTCTAGCTTCGATCAGTTGGCCTTCTGTGTTAAAGTTGTCAAACTATGTTATGATTGAAACAAATCCACGTTTCCTTCAAAAGTAGACAAAAAAATTGCTTCGGCGGTTCTTTGTCAACAACAAAATGTTACCCCGTGTAAAGCTTGGCCCAGCTCGGTTAATTTCTCCAACCAGGAATGTAGCGTGCGTGTACGCACATACGCCTATGCAATCAGCTAGTAAAATCTGGAAAAAATATATAGATTTTTTTTCTATCTCCTGAAAGCATTTTTATCATTAAATTTGGATAAATATTTCTCATTATATTGGTGTTTTTGTGTTAGTACTGAGAAAGAGTTTAGAAAGCCGTTTCAGCTGACGTAAACGGTTTTTTACAATCAACATAACGCTTTTCTCGTGCTTGGCAACCTCCCGCGTACATCCATAGCTCGATTGCTGCACGGTTGCAATGTTTACCATTTTTCTTTCATTGGTTATAACTTCAATTTACCCTCATATGTCGGTGTACGCCAATGTAAAATGTCCTACTCGAGATAACACTTCGCCAAATTCCGCCGATTTTGACGTGAAAAGTGCATATGACCACGGGTATTTCGAAAATGAAGACAGCAAACCACGCAGAGAAACAGAAATATGCTTTTTTCTACCGGTGGGTTAGTGTGCTTCTTAGCACAAACCTTAGCTTAACGCCTTCCTGTTGCCACATTGGTCATATCTTCTTTGACAACTTGCTGATAATAAGGAGTGGCCGGGCATTTGTTGGTCCCTGTCGTTACTTATTGCTGTAGCAGTCATGCGCCTTTCAAAGTACAAAAGGCACCCTGAATCAGGGCGGAATCGGTGATGTTCCGCGCTATTCCGCGAAGGCTCCCTCATTGCTAATACTTATCCTAACATCTCAAGTAATTTTTTCTCTTCCTCTTCTTTTAACCTCGAATCCAATTTTAGCCTTTCAACTAATTTTATTTTGAACTTTTGAATATATGAAAATCATATATATGAACTGCGGAGTGACGAATTAAATGAAGGATAATTTATAGTAAACGATCCAATTGAACGCCCTGCTCCCAGTTGGCTTGTTAGCTTAATAGGAAGTTTAAGATATCACGACGGCGACGGCGGCAAAAACATCGCTTAAAAAGTGACTCCTCGATCTATGAAACTTTAGCGCGATTATCCCAACTCGGTCACTATGTTTTATGTAAGCGAACTCTCCCAGAGTTGAATTCTTAAGAAAAATATCCAGGTATACAAAGAGTAAGAGAGATTCGTCGTCGTATGTTCACGTTGTCGATAAAACGTGAAATTAGGCAATTCAAGTCGCAGTCGTGCAGTGACGGCAAAGAAATGTACAAAAAAGCGTGTTGTTGTTTTGCTAATCTTAACCAATTGCTTTTATAACATAACAAAAGTAAATCGCGCGCTCTGATTGGTCAGTTAGCCACTACCATTTGCCCGTGGGTGCACGCCAAGAAACTGAGCTAGCGCGGTAAAATTTAGGCAAATTCAACAAATCTCCTCTCCTGACCGTAAAATACACCGATAAAATGCACAGATGAAAAGTGGAAGTTGAAGAAAACACTAAGCTGTCGTTTTGAAGGAAAAAAGACAAAAGATCAAGCGACAAATTTGCCCTAGATGATTTAGTCACTGTTTTCCTCGCGGCTAGAATCGGCTGTTCAAAGGAAAATGGAGCCAGCGAAGATTGAAGGTACATTTTGTATGTTTTTTATAGAAGAGAAAGTCTGTTTGAAATGTAAATTCAGCAATTAGCATTGTTTTATTGACTTTTTGGTCAAGCTGATGCTAAATCTAAGCAAATATTTCAGGAAACACGCTCAAATTCGAGACAGCTTTGTTGTGAAGTTTTCATCGCATCGATTAAAAATTTTAGTTGAGTTTAAACGGGCACATTACGCTGGAATAAGGGAATTTCATTTGAGTACAGAAACATTAGGGTTTTCAAATAAATTTTTCAAAAAATGACTTGTGTGTGTATTATTTTGTTCCTCAGTGTTCATTCATAACAGTCGTTCAGAGATCGCTCGAAAAACAACAGCTTCAGCGCCGGCTGTGTGTCGGCGAATTTCAGTTTTAACTTTGACTTTCATAGCTGGATTTCCCCAGGCAGATTTCGATACAAAGCTAGTTAATTTCTTTTTAAAATTAGTGTTACCTGTTATTCTAAAGGAATTACCCTCAAATTTTCTCATTTCTACTTTACGTATATTTCAAAAATTGTCACATAAAATGAGCTTGATAATTATTTCATTTATTTAGTTTTAGCTTCTTTTTTAGAGTCTTTTTAGTTGGTGTTTATAGTTGCAGCTATAGTTTTCCCTCAAAGTTTTCACCCTTATATTAAGAGCAAGTAGACAGATGCCATTCAGAATAACAACGAAAAACGTTTTGCAATTTACCTGAAGACAGAGAACGGTTGATTCAGCGGAAGAAAAACTCAAAGGCAAGTTTTTGAAAAACATAGAACATGATTTGTTTACGCGCGGGCAGGTGGCAGCATCCTTGAACTCGTACCGATGACTCAACCGAAGGCAATTGGAAAATAATGTTTTTCTCTTTTGATTATGTTATAAAAGAAATGGTAAACGTTGCAGCTGTACAACCATGGAGTTATGGATGCACTTGGGAGGTTTGCTAAGCACTCAAGAAGCTAGAGTCGCACTCGGCTATCGCCTCGTACGACTCTTACGCTTCTTTCGTGCTTAGCAACCTCCCGCGTGCATCCATAACTCCATGGTTGCACGCTGCACGTTTACCATTTCTTAATTTGACGTTCTCGTTGCCGTCGCCGAAGGGGCATCTTAAACTCCCTAATTTGTACAGCGCTGCACAGGTTCTGCAGAGGTCAAGGGTTCGAATCCCGTACAAGCCTGAGTTTTTTCAGGTTTTCTTTTTGCAACTGCAAAAGTTATTTATAGAAAGCAAAAAAAACAAAGTTAGATGTTAAGATTTGCACTAATAATGAGGGACCGGCAAACTCTATGTCTACCTCAAGTAAGTGCTAAAATAGAAAAAAGGGTAGAGATAAATTTATAAGTAAATGAAATGAAATGGCATTATAAAAGACAGACTTACAAAAATAAGAAGATGAAATAAAATTAAATTAAATGAAGGATGATCATCGCAGTTATCACTTTTTGCTTTGTAAAAAAAAAACCAACAACAACAGCAACAGTATATTCATCTAACAACCTTTGTGGCATTAGTCGCATTACGGGTGTTCAAAGTATGGGATCCCGAACGAAAGATAGAAGTTAGGGAGAATGTGTGCGTTTGGGAGTGTTGTGGGCGCGAAGATGCACCTGTAGTAAATATTTTAGTAACTTCCAAGCGCAAAGTAAAATATTTATCTTCAAGCTTAGCGCAAAATAAACACAAGGTTGAACAAAAGGGGTTAAACAGAAAAAGATAAAAGATGGCACACAATACACCGCTGCTCACAAAGGAAAAAGGTGATAAACATCCCGGCTGTTGATATAAGAGTTAATAAGATGTTTATCACTCTCGCGCCTAACGGAAAATAAACAATAATCAGCAAATGTGTGTTTGCCAGCGCTTTTGTTATATGCCTAACGTTTAACAGGGTCACGAGCCCGTAAAAAGGGCCGCGCGCAGAACTTTGTTAGTCACATTGCTAACGGATATTTAGCAGTGAACTTTGGTTGGGAAATGAAATCTCTACTCGTTCTCCTGTTTCTCGCACCGGCAGTCGCCACCCTGGCTGAGGAGCCTTTTGAGGATGAGGCAGTCGCGGAGTTGTTAGATGAAGAGGATGATGAAACCATTGCCGAGCTTGCTGATGAGAAGAATGACCCCCATCGTCGTCCCCGTCCAAGTGGCCCTCCGAGGGCGGTAAGATCTTCAACCTTGTCACCAATCCTAAACAGACTACTGGGATTTGAACAATCAGCTTAAAGTAGCAAACTTAATTTGTTTAAGACTCCCTTTCACGTCCTTATAAAATAGGTGCTGAGGGGAACTTTGGAAGAATCGCGCTCCCTCAACCCGGAAATTGCGTATTTTATTTGGTTAACATGTTAGATCGATAACTCTGTCAAAAAAATAGCCATAGCCTTTTTTCTGGTGATTGGCATCACGGTGATAAAGAATGGTATCATTAATAAAATCCTAGCAAAAGGTGTTTTAATATAAACGGTAACGTATCATTGAGCCATTATTATAAAACGCACATAGTTTAATTCTTTTCTCTTAAAAAGTGCAAACTGTACTTTAAGAAATGCTTAAAGAAGCCATCTGGTCCTCGTCCCACACGTCCCATCAAGGTAAGATCTTCTTTGTCTCTATTTTGAACCCTTATACTTTGATGTCGAGACGTAGTTTTACAGCAAAAGTGTGTAGTCAACTTATATTGTTTTTATACAACTTGATGAAATACATGCAGCAGGTGAGCTCCTTAGTTATTTTTTTCAGCCGGGGTAGGTTGTTATATGTTAGAAAGAGTGATTACCCTTTTGTCAAGAAAGTAATCATAGCTTAGATTTTTCATATTCACTGATAATTTAGCGTCAAATGATAAAGACGGCCAGCATCAATCAAAGAAAATCCTGACATGTGATTTAAAAAAATCAACAAAGTTTTAGAAGTATCCTAGCACAGAGGTATTAAAAAATTAACACAATTCATCTTCTCTCCCACTTAGAAAAACATTTGCAAAAATCTGCGGAAAATATGCAAGAAGCTCCGGCCCAGCAAACGTCCTAAGCCTTAACTGATTGACACTTAAGTTATTGACAGCCTAACGGTACTGCAAAGATGACGTGTCCCATTAACAGAAAACTTGATGTAACGAAATTAAATGTAGTTGTGAAATTAGGGTGGTACTGTTGATTTAAATAAGGCATTGAAAAGGTGTCTTGTGGTTTTACTCATGTGCGTACAGTAGTTGAGGATTTATCTAATAAATGATAATTATAAAAGTAAATTATAATTATCATAAAAAAATTATCCCAGAATCCTTTAAAAGCTTTACAACTTTGACAATTCTATACGTAGAAGAATGTCAGTCCACAAGAAGAAAACATTTGCCATGAAATATCTTCCCACATCACATCTAAGGTAATAACGTCCTCAGTCACGTGACTATTCGGAATTAGGTTTGTTTGCTGCTGTGACAAGATTTTGTTAACGAGTTAAAAACAAATAGCAGAATTGAGGTTTTAGTTAAGGGGTGGGGGGGGGGGGGTTTAAAAATAACCAGTTGACGTCCGGCATTTAAAATATAAGGGGGTAATAAACATGAGCGAAAAAGTCGGGAGACTAGGCCGAGGGATGTAGAGAGTCAACCTTTAATCACACGACAGAGAAAATTTGCGGGAAGGTAATGTTCTAACTGATAATTTTTTCTTGCCCAAAATAGGGACATGAAGTTATCAGTCACGTGATCAAAGCGTTTTGAATGTTTTAGTTCGTTTTTAAAGTGCCTTTTTGTCATAAATTGGCAAGTTATTTTTTCCTCAACAATTCTTTACACTGTATTATCTCTGAGTAATTATTATTCAAATTCAAAGCAGAACCAAACGAAAACTGAGCCAGAAGCTTAAAAGTTGCGTAAATTGACCGATATTGCAAGTTTAAATCGAAAAGGAGACCTACTCTTGAGACTTTTGTAAAATCCTTTTTCAACGTAACTGTTTGTTTGCCGAAATAAATGTTAAACGTTTGTTATTAACGGGAGAACTTTAAAAACTAAAAGTATGTATTGGGCGGCCATATTGTTTTTCTTCATTCCCAGGGAGAGAAGTCTCGTAACAGTATTAATGGGTTTATTGTGAGCTTTACGTCTAGCTTCGATCAGTGGGCCTTCTGTGTTAAAGTTGTCAAACTATGTTATGATTGAAACAAATCCACGTTTCCTTCAAAAGTAGACAAAAAAATTGCTTCGGCGGTTCTTTGTCAACAACAAAATGTTACCCCGTGTAAAGCTTGGCCCAGCTCGGTTAATTTCTCCAACCAGGAATGTAGCGTGCGTGTACGCACATACGCCTATGCAATCAGCTAGCAAAATCTGGAAAAAATATATACATTTTTTTTTTATCTCCTGAAAGCATTTTTATCATTAAATTTGGATAAATATTTCGCATTATATTGGTGTTTTTGTGTTAGTACTGAGAAAGAGTTTAGAACGCCGTTTCAGCTGACGTAAACGGTTTTTTACAATCAACATAACATAAGAGTAAGAGAGATTCGTCGTCGTATGTTCACGTTGTCGATAAAACGTGAAATTAGGCAATTCACGTCGTAGTCGTGCAGTGACGGCAAAGAAATGTACAAAATAGCGTGTTGTTGTTTTGCTAATCTTAACCAATTGCTTTTTGACGTTCTCGTTGCCGTCGCCGTAGGGGCATCTTAAACTCCCTAATTTGTACAGCGCTGCACCGGTACTGCAGAGGTCAAGGGTTCGAATCCCGTACAAGCCTGAGTTTATTTCAGGCTTTCTTTTTGCAACTGCAAACGTTACTTATAGAAAGCAAAAAAAACAAAGTTAGATGTTAAGATTTGCACTAATAATGAGGGACCGGCAAACTCTATGTCTACCTCAAGTAATTAAGTGCTAAAATAGAAAAAAGGGTAGAGATAAATTTATAAGTAAATGAAATGAAATGGCAGTATAAAAGACAGACTTACAAATATAAGAAGGTGAAATAAAATTAAATTAAAAGAAGGATGATCATCGCAGTTATCACTTTTTGCTTTGTAAAAAAAACCAACAACAACAACAACAGTATATTCATCTAACAACCTTTGTGGCATTACGGGTGTTCAAAGTATGGGATCCCTAACGAAAGATAGAAGTTAGGGAGAATGTGTGCGTTTGGGAGTGTTGTGGGTGCGAAGATGCACCTGTAGTAAATATTTTAGTAACTTCCAAACGCAAAGTAAAATATTTATCTTCAAGCTTGGCGCAAAATAAATACCAGGTTGAACAAAAGGGGTAAAACCGAAAAAGATAAAACATGACACACAATACACCGCTGCTCACAAAGGAAAAAGGTGATAAACATCCCGGCTGTTGATATAAGAGTCAATAAGATTTATAACATAACAAAACTAAATCGCGCGCTCTGATTTGTCAGTCAGCCACTACCATTTTCCCGTGGGTGCACGCTAAGAAACTGAGCTAGCGCGGTAAAATTTAGGCAAATTCAACAAATCTCCTCTCCTGACGGTAAAATACACAGATGAAAAGCACAGATGAAAAGTGGAAGTTGAAGAAAATACTAAGCTGTCGTTTTGAAGAAAAAAGACAAAAGATCAAGCGACAAATTTGCCCTGGATGAATGAATCACTGTTTTCCTCGCGGCTAGAATCTGCTGAAGGAAAATCGAGCGAGCGAAGATTTAAGGTACATTTTGTGTGTTTTTTATAGAAGAGAAAGTCTGTTTGGAAAGGAAAATTATCAATTAGCATTGTGTTATTGACTTTTTGGTCAAGCTGATGCTAAATTCAAGCAAATATTTTAGGAAACACGCTCAAATTCGAGACAGCTTTGTTGTGAAGTTTTCATCGCATCGATTAAAAATTTTAGTTGAGTTTAAAAGGGCACATAACGCTGGAATAAGCGAATTTCATTTGAGTACAGAAACATTTGGGTTTTCAAATAAATTTTTCAAAAAATAACTTCTGTGTGTATTATTTTGTTCCTCAGTGTTCATTCATAACAGTCGTTTGGAGAACGGTCGAAAAACAACAGCTTCAGCGCCGGCTGTGTGTCGGCGAATTTCAGTTTCAACTTTCACTTTCATAGCTGGATTTCCCCAGACAGATTTCGATACAAAGCTAGTTAATTTCTTTTTAAAATTAGTGTTACCTGTTATTCTAAAGGAATTACAGTCAAATTTTCTCATTTCTACTTTGCGTTTATTTCAAAAATTGTCACATAAATAACCTTGATAATTATTTCATTTAATTAGTTTTAGCTTATTTTTTAGAGTCTTTTTAGTTGGTGTTTATAGTTGCAGCTATAGTTTTCCCTCAAATTTTTTACCCTCATATTAAGAGCAAGTAGACAGATGCCATTCAGAATAACAACGAAAAACGTTTTGCAATTTACCTGAGGACGGAGAAAGGTTGATTCAGCGAAAGAAAAACTCAAAGGCAAGTTTTTGAAAAACATAGAACATGATTTGTTTACGCGCGGGCAGATGTCACCATACAGGAACTCGGACCGATGACTCAACCGAAAGGCAAATGGAAAATAATGTTTTTCTCTTTTGATTATGTTATAAAAGAAATGGTAAACGTTGCAGCTGTGCAACCATGGAGTTATGGATGCACTTGGGAGGTTTGCTAAGCACTCAAGAAGCTAGAGTCGCACTCGGCTATCGCCTCGTGCGACTCTTACGCTTCTTTCGTGCTTAGCAACCTCCCGCATGCATCCATAACTCCATGGTTGCACGCTGCACGTTTACCATTTCTTAAGTTTATTACTCTCGCGCCTAACGGAAAATAAACACTAATCAGCACATGTGTGTTTGCCAGCGCTTTTGTTATATGCCTAACGTTTAACAGGGTCACGTGCCAGTAAAAAGGGCCGCGCGAAGAACTATGTTAGTCACATTGCTAACGGATATGTAGCAGTGAACTTTGGTTGGGAAATGAAATCTCTACTTGTTCTCCTGTTTCTCGGAGCGGCAGTCGCCACCCTGGCTGAGGAGCCTTTTGAGGATGAGGCAGTCGCGGAGTTGTTAGATGAAGAGGATAATGAAACCATTGCCGAGCTTGCTGATGAGAAGAATGACCCCCGTCGTCGTCCCCGTCCAAGTGGCCCTCCGAGGGCAGTAAGATCTTCAACCTTGTCACCAATCCTAAACAAACTACTGGGATTTGCACAATCAGCTTAAAGTAGCAAACTTAATTTGTTTAAGACTTCCTTTCACGTCCTTATAAAATAGGTGCTGAGGGGAACTTCGGAAGAATCGCGCTCCCTCAACCCGGAAACTGCGTATTTTATCTGGTTAACATGTTAGATCGATAACTCTGTCAAAAAAATAGCCATACCCTTTTTTCTGGTGATTGGCATCACGGTGATAAAGAATGGTATCATTAATAAAATCTTAGCAAACGGTGTTTTAATATAAACGGTAACGTATCATTGAGCCATTATTATAAAACTCACATAGTTTAATTCTTTTCTCTTAAAAAGTGCAAACTGTATTTTAAGAAATGCTTAAAGAAGCCAACTGGTCCTCGTCCCACACGTCCCATCAAGGTAAGATCTTCCTTGTCGTTATTTTGAACCCTCAGACTTTGATGTCGAGACGTAGTTTTACAGCAAAAGTGTGTAGTCAACTTACATTGTTTTTATACGACTTGATGCAATACATGCACCAGCTGAGCTAGCTCTTTAGTTATTTTTTTCAGCCGGGGTAGGTTGTTATACGTTTGAAAGAGTGACTACCCTTTTGTCAATAAAGTAATCATAGCTCAGTTTTTTCATATTCACTGATCAATTAGCGTCAAATGATAAAGACGGCCAGCATCAATCAATGAAAATCCTGACATGTGATTAAAAAAAATCAACAAAGTTTTAGAAGTATCCTACCACAGAGGTATTAAAAAATTCACCCAATTCATCTTCTCTCCTACTTAGAAAAAGATTTGCAAAAAACTGCGGAAAATATGCAAGAAGCTCCGGCCCAGTGGACGTCCTAAGCCTTAACTGATTGAAAGTCAAGTTATTGACAGCCTAACGGTACTGCAAAGATGACGTGTCCCATGAACAGAAAACTTTGATGTAACGAAAGTAAATGTAGTTGTGAAATTAGGGTGGTACTGTTGATTTAAATAAAGCATTGAAAAGGTGTCTTGTGGTTTTACTCATGTGCGTACAGTAGTTGAGAATTTATCTAAAAAATGATAATTATAAAAGTAAATTGTAATTATCATTAAAAAAATTATCCCAGAATCCTTTGAGGCAATTTTTCTTAAAAGCTTTACAACTTTGACAATTCTATACGTAGAAGAATGTCAGTCCACAAGAAGAAAACATTTGTCATGAAATATCCTCCCACATCACATCTAAGGTAATAACGTCCTCAGTCACGTGACTATTCCGAATTAGGTTTGTTTGCTGCTGTGACAAGATTTTGTTAACGAGTTAAAAACAAATAGCAGAATTGAGGTTTTAGTTAAGGGGGGGGGGGATTTAAAAATAACCAGTTGACGTCCGGCATTTAAAATATAAGGGGGTAATAAACATGAGCGAAAAAGTCGGGAGACTAGGCCGAGAGATGTAGAGAGTCAACCTTTTATCACACGACAGAGAAAATTTGCGGGAAGGTAATGTTCTAACTGATAATTTTTTCTTGCCCAAAATAGGGATATGACGTTATCAGTCACGTGATCAAAGCGTTTTGAATGTTTTAGTTCGTTTTTAAAGTGCCTTTTTGTCATAAATTGGCAAGTTATTTTTTCCTCAACAATTCTTTACACTGTATTATCTCTCAGCAATTATTATTCAAATTCAAAGCAGAACCAAACGAAAACTGAGCCAGAAGCTTAAAAGTTGCGTAAATTGACCGATATTGCAAGTTTAAATCGAAAAGGAGACCTACTCTTGAGACTTTTGTAAAACCCTTTTTCAACGTAACTGTTTGTTTGCCGAAATAAATGTTCAACGTTTGTTATTAACGGGAGAACTTTAAAAACTAAAAGTATGTATTGGGCGGCCATATTGTTTTTCTTCATTCCCAGGGAGAGAAGTCTCGTAACAGTATTAATGGGTTTATTGTGAGCTTTACGTCTAGCTTCGATCAGTGGGCCTTCTGTGTTAAAGTTGTCAAACTATGTTATGATTGAAACAAATCCACGTTTCCTTCAAAAGTAGACAAGAAAATTGCTTCGGCGGTTCTTTGTCAACAACAAAATGTTACCCCGTATAAAGCTTGGCCCAGCTCGGTTAATTTCTCCAACCAGGAATGTAGCGTGCGTGTACGCACATACGCCTATGCAATCAGCTAGTAAAATCTGGAAAAAATATATAGATTTTTTTTTTATCTCCTGAAAGCATTTTTATCATTAAATTTGGATAAATATTTCGCATTATATTGGTGTTTTTGTGTTAGGATTTCCTTTATCCTTTTACTGATTAAGTGGAGTGAAATGGATCCGAATGTTGAAGCATTTTTTGTTTGGTTGAGACTTTTGACCAAGCCAACCACAATTCTCTCCCGGAGTATAATGTAGCTCTCATAACTTTGTTGACTTATCCTGTGTCAGAATGCACAGCTGAGCGCAGCTTCAGCTGTATGAAGAGACTGCAAACTCCTTTACGAAGGATCATGAAAGATGAGAGATTGAGCTCTCTTGCAATTCTGCACATACATAAGCACAAGGACGTAATTGATATTGATGGCATTATGACAGATCAGTTTGCATTGTCTGGAGGGTACACATATCGCCCTTTCCTTGTAACCTCCTTGATGGCGTCACAGTTTTACCCTTTTTTTGCCGTAAACACTGTACCTTACCGATAACACTAGAGATGGGCAAAATATACAACTAATTACTGCATTTCCCTTCGTCTTTATTTACTGAAAATGTGAAACTGGCATTTCCGAGACCCCAAATTTAAAGATTTTCTGGGGAGCATGCCTCCAGACTTCCTCCAGGTTTGCGGCACCTTTGGCGCCCTAACTTTTTTCCCGTGCACTTTCAAAATCTCACGCTACGCTGCCAGCTACCGGTATTTTATAGCTTATGAAATCAATGCCCAAGGATGGAAGAAGAGTCTTGGTCTAGAAGTGGTTGGGAGGGCTGTTATTGCCAGGGGGGGGTACAATTTTCATATGTAATTATTTTGGGGGGGGGAAGTTTTGATGCACCACACTTTTCTGACAACTCCCGCCCCCCTCTGAGACGTAATAAACGATCGGTCCCTAACCAAATATATCAAACGAGAATACAATACGATATTGGACGATACAGACTCTGCGGATCGTCATAACTTTGTCCCATCTCAGAGCTTTACAGGATCCTCTCCGGGAAACTTTTCTCAAGGTGACCAATAACGAAATGTTAACTGCTAAACGGCACCAAATAACTATCACTTGAGTTGAAGAGAGAATTGTGGGTAGGATCGAAAAAAAAGGAGTGAGGGAGGGGGGGGGTTGATAGAAATTCGCGAAATTCTGTCTGCGTTAACGTAGATGGAGCTCTTGACCGGGAGGAAAACGAGCGTTGAATGTACATTGGAAAAGGATCTATGGTGAGTTCATTGCTGGTGGTCTCCATAAGGAACAATCCACGTGCTTTAGGAACTGTTTCTTAAGCCAACGCTCGTTGGCAGAGAGGATCCTCGGCTGGATCTGTCATAAACTGGATATTTTACGGTTTTATCGACTGTTCTCTGGCTTGGAGTTGTTACCTTATGGGGCGGAAAAGGGCTTGGTTCAAATATCTTTTCTCGCCCTCTAACAATGATAGCGAAAGTTGCTTCTCGATTCGTGACCTCACAGGCTGCCTGAACAAGGCTAATTGTTTACTCCATAGCCTTACGCCAACAGCCAGGAAGTGAACACTTCACGCTTCTTGGTTTCCTCGTAGGGGTGGCAATCTCAATGGCCCTGGTGGGTCTACATCTCCGGGCTGGAAAAGAAGCGGCACAGCCTTGCCCTTCTTCTCGTTCGAAGAAGTGGTTAACCCGGCAGGTCTGGCTGGCAAAGGCTACAATCGTTTTGATACTTTGTAGGGTTTCTTTCAGACTCTCTTGGCTGAATGTTTTATAAGCGAGTCACAGGCGCTCATTCGATATTCAACTCATAGCATATTTTACTGGGCTATCCAGAAAGCACTTAACATAAAAACAGAAATTAAACCAAAAAAAACTATGATTGTTGTATACGTAATAGAATGCTTGAGCAGCGTGTAATTAGTGTACCTGCAGCATGGTGAAACGATTTGAACTTCTGTGTATTTTAAAAAGTAGACACTGCGAAGCGCCGAGCTTTTTTACCGACTACATGTTGGTTGGGTAACTTCTCGCCACTCAAAAAGTTCTCAAACAATTGATGGGAATAAAGAAAGAAAGAAATAAATTAAAATATTTAAAATATATTCCTCGTGGAAAGCTCAGCAGAAATCTTCCCGCCTTTTTTGGGAAGCTGTTTGATGCCTCCTCCACTTTTTTGCGTAGAATTCCTCATAGAAATCGTAGCGACATTAACTAGAACAGAAGTAGAATGATGACACGCAGGCAAGCTTTTCTCTTCGAATATGAGGATGTTTGCAAACGTTTCTGAAACTCTGAATAATTAATGGCGACATGACGATCCTTTGTCACAGACTAGGGAGCTTAAGGTGGCTCGACTGGATTTTTTTAGGGGGATACCTCCCAAGTTTGAGCATTAACTACGTCGGCATGAGTAAAGATATTGAAAAAAAGTTACCACAACTATATTATATAAAGATGAAAATTTCTTATGACCTCGGTTTTATTGCAATCGGAGTCGCCATGGCAACGTAATGGTGCCATTACGTTTTTCATTTATCTTTGTGTTTCTCTGTACCAGGAGTTTTTTGAAGAAATCGCTTAAGGGAGTATGTACCTGCCATAATTGCCTCCATTATGGCAAAGTTTAAAGAAATTCTATGAGAGCGTTTTCGAAATATTTTAAAATGGAATTTTAAGAATCATAAAAACAGTGAAATAGCATGCTAGCCGCACAATTCGCTAATATTTTAAGAAAATGATAAGCTCTGGGAACGCGGCTTCGTCTCATAGTGGTTTGATTCCATTGAAAACTGCATGCAAAATAAGAGGGGAATTGCTCTGGGCGATCGCGAGTAAGAAGAATTTTATTAACTTGCATTCAGCTGCTTTTGATACAGTGTTTGGACGTAATTTGGTCCATGCCTAAAAATTTCGCATTTTTCCAAAAACCGCTCGATAATTTTTTTTATAAATTCGACAATTCCGAGATCAATCGTCAAGAAATATTCCCTGCAAGTGTTAAGAACATTGAAAACAGGGAAGGCTTTTAAAAAAGGCGTTTTGAAAACCATCTATATGGTAATGTTACATATATAACTGACGGACTTTTTTCTGCTTAAGATTTCTGTTGAGGACAGCTGCTTTTTTCCCTTGGTATTGGCAAGCTGAAATCTCATCAGAAAAAGACCACCGAATAAAAATAAAAAATCCTCGATTTAACGAACCTCTATACAACAAATTAAAGCCCTCGGTACAACGAAATATTTTCTTTGGTCCAGTTACAGAAAAAAATGTAAAAGAAACTTGATATAGCGAAACGTCGTTTTGGTGAACATGCCCGGCCAGTGCCTTTGGACCGTCAGTACTTTTTTTTCGAGGTTCATGCTCTGTTGCTTCCCAAGTCCGTTTCCAGTTCCTTATATTTTTATTCGTATCTCTTCTATTGTTTTCCTTGTTTCTGAAAGTTATTCCTGAACAATATAATCAAATTCAGATGAAGCGTGTATACACATGTGCAGCTGCTTTTCACAACCACTCGCACTGACAGTAGGAAAACCTTATGAATATTTGAGTAGCTTCATTGCTACTGAGTTTTCAGTTCCTCATAGTCAGTACTTTTTTGTTTCAATTGCTTACGGAAGGACTTTTTCCCGTTCACGTAAACTTTACCGAAGTCGGTGCCTTTCACTGAAACACTGATGATAAAAAGTTAGGCATCAGCCGTCTTGACGACACGCCTCTCTGGTAGCTCCTGGCGATCAACTAAAACTATAATAAAGTTTTTTAAGGATTTTAAAGCACATCCAGTTTTTACAGACTAATCCTCCTCAATCTATCTTCAAAGAAAGCGTTAAGGGGTCATGATCAAACGC